ACTAGAGGAAGTAACAAGAAGGGAAGATCGAAGTCGAGAAAGAGAGGGCAATCCAAGAACCGGAAGGACATCAATTGTTGGAATTGCAAAGAGAATGGACACTTCAGAAATCAGTGCCCAAAACCCCCTGCAGACAAAGGCAAGAAGGAGGTGAACGTGGCAGAGGATTATGAAGATGTTCTAATTTGCAGCGTTGAGAATTCAGTTGAGTCCTGGATCATGGATTCAGGTGCGTCGTTTCATGCTTGTCATTGCAGGGATTTGATGAAAAATTTCAGGCCCTACAACGGAAGAGTTCGTTTGGCAGATGACAAATCTCTGGAGATCACGGGTATTGGGGATGTTGATCTCAGTACCACTTTGGGTACAACCTGGAGGCTGAAAGATGTGAGGTATATTCCAGACCTGAAGAAGATGTTGATCTCAGTTGGACAGCTTGATGAGGAAGGCCATAACGTTAGTTTTGGCAACAAGCAATGGAAGGTGACAAAGGGAAAGCTGGTCATTGCTCGTGGGCAGAAGCACGGTACACTGTACATGGTTGAAGTGTCCACAGATGGGGCAAACGCAGCAGTTGAAGATACAGGGGTCTCTACTTTGTGGCACCAAAGACTTGGGCACATAAGTGAGAACGGAATGAAGATGCTGTCTTCAAAGGGCAAAATCCCAGATTTGAAGAATTCAAAGTTGAGCTTTTGTGAGCCATGTGTTCTAGGCAAACAAAAGAGGGTAACCTTTGTGAAGACAGGGCAGCAACCCAAGATTGAGCGACTGGAGTTGATTCATTCAGATGTCTACGGACCTACAAAGGTCTCTTCGATTGGAGGTTCCCGTTACTATGTCACATTCATTGATGACTCTACACGGAAGGTATGGGTTTATTTTCTTAAAAATAAATCTGAAGTCTTTAACACTTTTAAGAAGTTCAAAGCTGCAGTAGAGAATGAAACGAATCTTAAGATCAAGTGTTTAAAGAGTGATAATGGGGGTGAGTACAGTAGCACAGAGTTTGTAGAGTATTGTGCTGAACAGGGAATCAGAATGCTGAAGACGGTTCCAGAAACACCACAGCAAAATGGTGTTGCAGAGAGGATGAACAGAACACTGAATGAGAGGGCCAGGAGCATGAGATTGCATGCAGGACTTCCAAAGATGTTCTGGGCCGATGCGGTGAACACAGCAGCATACTTGATCAACAGAGGACCCTCATCTCCCATAGGTTTCAAAATTCCAGAAGAGGAATGGAAAGGTCGAGAGGTATCCCTTACTCACTTGAAAGTTTTTGGTTGTATTTCTTATGTCAAAGTTAGAGATGCAGATAGTGACAAGCTTGAGGCAAAGGCAAAGAAGTGTATCTTTATTGGGTACGGGATGGATGACATGGGCTACAGGTTCTGGGACAACCACAGCAAGAAGGTTATCAGAAGTAGAGATGTCACTTTCAACGAGAATGCCCTGTATAAAGATGGTCTTGCAGCTGAAACTAGCAAAGCCAAGCAACCAGAAAACAAGCAACAAGTGGTGTTTGACGGGATGACAGAAGACGACATAGCACAACCTGCTGGTTGTGATGAGATGACTGGAGGTTCAGGGAGCAGTGGGAGCTCAGGAGATACAGGGATGTCTGAAGATAGTGGGAGTGATGAAGATGGTGAAAATTCAGAGGCAGCTACTCCTCAAGTCAGACAGTCCACTAGAATCAGAAGACCTCCTAACAGATATTCTCCTTCAGCAAATTACCTTTTGCTGACCGAGAATGGAGAGCCAGAATCTTACTCAGAGGCGCTGACCATGAAAGATTCCATACAGTGGAAGAAGGCCATGGAGGATGAGTTAGATTCACTTGACAAGAACCAAACTTGGTCCTTAGTCAAGCTACCACCGGGAAAGAAAGCTTTGGAGAACAAGTGGGTGTTTAGAATCAAAGATGAAGCTGATGGGAACAAAAGATACAAGGCGAGGCTAGTTGTCAAGGGGTTCCAACAGAAGAAGGGGGTTGATTACAATGAAATCTTCTCCCCGGTTGTGAAGATGACTACTATCAGGTTGATCCTTGGTATCGTTGCTGCTGAAAATTTGCATTTGGAGCAGCTGGATGTGAAGACTGCTTTTCTTCATGGTGACCTTGAAGAAAACATTTACATGGCCCAACCGGCAGGTTTCCCAGTGAGTGGTAAAGAGAAGATGGTGTGCAAACTCAAGAAGAGTCTATACGGGCTGAAGCAAGCTCCTAGACAGTGGTACTTGAAGTTTGACAGTTTTATGCAGCGGAATGGGTACACTAGATGCAAGATGGACCATTGCTGTTACTTGAAGAAATTCGAGTCTTCATACATTATTCTTCTTTTGTATGTTGATGACATGTTGGTGGCTGGAGCAAACATGCAGGAAATCAACAAGCTCAAGAAGAAGTTGTCTGAAGAATTTGAGATGAAGGATTTAGGGGAGGCGAGACAGATTCTTGGGATGAGCATAGTCAGAGACAAAGTGGAAGGTACTTTAAAGCTTTCACAGCAGAAGTACATTCAGAAGGTCCTTGAGAAGTTCAGAATGACGGATGCCAAGCCAAGGAGTACACCGTTAGGGAGTCAGTTGAAACTCTCCAAGCAGCAGTCTCCGAAGACCGATGAAGACAAAGATGAGATGGCTAAAGTTCCTTATGCATCAGCAGTCGGCAGTTTGATGTATGCGATGGTGTCAACAAGACCGGACATTGCTCATGCAGTGGGAGTTGTTAGCAGGTTTATGTCAAATCCAGGGAAGGAACATTGGGAAGGAGTCAAGTGGCTGCTACGCTACTTGAAAGGCACCTCTAGAACTGCTCTTTGTTTCAGGAGGAATGGGGCAATTCTAGAAGGTTTTGCAGATGCTGATTTGGGGGGCTGTCATGATTCCGGGAAGAGCACTACGGGTTACATATTCACTATTGGAGGTACAGCAATCAGTTGGATGTCCAGATTACAGAAGAGTATAGCTCTTTCAACCACAGAAGCAGAATATATGGCTATTGCTGAAGCGGCCAAGGAGATGATTTGGTTGAAGAACTTTCTTTCGGAGTTGGGCATGAAACAGGGGGATTGTGGTCTGTACTGTGACAACCAGAGTGCTATTCATCTCGCAAAGAATCCGGTGTTTCACAGCAGAACGAAACACATCAAGATGAGGTATCATTTCATTCGAGAATTGATTGAAGATGGTACTATAAGTTTGAAGAAGATCCTTGGTACGAAGAATCCAGCAGACATGCTTACCAAGGCGGTGACAACCGAGAAGTTGAAGCTATGCATGGCTTCAACGGGCCTTCCAGATACTTGATGAGAAGGCGCGGACGAGAGAGAAAGAGAAAGAGAAAGAGAAAGAGAGAGAGAAATCAGGGGTTTTACAGAAGATACATGTTCTTGGATGGCAGATGATTGTTGACCAAGCCTCCAAGTGGGAGATTGTTGAAGATGGAGTCTTGTTCAGAATTTCAGAACTGATACCCGCCCGGGTCAGATGAAGGACCCGACCGGGTATGTTGAAGCAGAGACCGGGGGATCTCACTGGACGTGAGACCCGACCGGGTCAGGGAAGGGACCCGACCGGGTCAGCAAGGCAGAAGCCTTCTGTTTTGGAAACCCGACCTGGTTTCTACCCGGGTGTGATGTTCTGTGAAGGAGACCCGACCGGGTCAAATAAGAGACCCGACCGGGTCAGTCGACGGGAATTTTAAAAACAGGCTTAATTTTGGGCCTGCGGCTCTAATCTCAGTTTAGGTTTTCCTAAACCTATTTAAACGACTCTTATGTACTTGTAAACCTCTTGGGGACGCTGATAATAATACATACTCTCTCTCGTTCGCCGTGGACTAGCGTAATCACCCCGATTGCGTGAACCACGTTAATTCTTGTGTTCTTGCTCTTAATTTATCGTTTATCTTTGCCTAATCGTAACAAATAATACGATATTAGTGATAGGCAGAAAAATCACATCTTTATGCAAATAAGTTGAATGGCTGTGTACATTAAGTGGGACATGCATTTAAGATGAACGCTACGCACATTGAGTGAGACCTTAGCATGTCCCCCCTGTCATTAGGGGGAAGCCTTATGCATAGGGATCTACCTGGGCAGTCCTAGGTAAGGGTAGGGGTGCAACCGGAATCATAATCACATGGAACCAATTCTAGCTAGGCATGGACCAAACCGGGTCCGGGTCCAGTCCGGGCCTAGGCCCAGTCGGGCCTTTTGTGTTAAGGGGAAGGCCCGGGTTGCCACCGGGTCCAGTTCGGGCCGGGCCTCAGTTCGGGCCTCGGGCCTGGTTGTAATATTTTTTTCTTTCTTTCCTAAGTACCCCCCTGACCCCCCCCCCACCCCCAACCCCCCAAAAACATCAAACCCAACCCGGGAAGCCCAATAAAACTGAAAAAACAAAAAAAAACATTTTTCAGCAGCCCGAGACTGCCCCGCTTTAGATTTCAAACCGGGCCAAGGACCGGTTCCGGACCCGAGGCATCGGGCCAGGCCGGTCCCGCACAGTAGCGGGCCGGGCCGGTTCCCGGGCCGGGTGGCCCGAACCGGGTCCATGCCTAATTCTAGCTCCACATTTAATCCTTTCTTAAAAAGGAACCAGAACCATTCAGTTACAGTCCAGTTTTGGACAAGCCAGAACTGGTTCGAGCCCAAAACCAAAAACACGGGTGCCAGTTTAGTTTCTTTACCCAACCAATTCCAGTCTAGTCAAGTTGGTGCCCCCTCCTTTAGCCCAGTTGGGGATAATATAAGCAAATTTTAGATATGGAAGCCATATCATCTCAATAGAAGTATAGAACTCTAAAGTCCTATGTGTTGTTTTGTATGTATTCACTTGTTAATTAGAATTACTTTAATAATAACAGTGTGGTTTAGCAGCGGACTCAGAGGTCATTCAAGATTTCAAGTCCCATCCTAATTAAAAATGCTACCATTATCTTGAGTATTATACTATAATAATACGTTTATAAAGATATATACAAAAACATGTACTACGTATTCGTTTTATATTATCACCCTCCAAAAGACAAAATCCTGCATATCCCACTGGCGGGGAATTGGGGATGGGAATAAACAAGCACAAAGCAAGTTTATTTGTTTAAGTTAGCATGCAATATTGCAATCTGACATTCTATTTCCAATCCGTTTTAGCTACATGGAACAAAGCAGTTATTTTTACACAAAAATAGACAAAAGGTAACGACATTTATACATGCCACCAAGTCATTAAAAACAGAAATACGTATACATATGAGAAGATTATCATACAGTGACTGGGGTGGGTAGTGCAGGAGGAACACGGTTTTGGGTGGGAATTTCAACAAACTCTGCAAGAATTGCACGGAACTCATCTCCGCTCATTGTCTCCTTCTCAATGAGGACCTCCACTATCTTATCAATGGCTTCTCGGTTGCTCCGGATGTGACTCAATGCAATCTCATAAGCCGTATCTGAGATCCTCTTAATTGCAGCATCTATGTCTTCAGCAAGCTTTTCTGACATGGAGTTACGGGCCATCATTCTCATGAAGACATCAGCACTTTGCCCCCCTGACTCCATGAGTGACCAAGGACCAATTTCAGACATTCCAAAAGTAACAACCATCTACGTAAAGGAGCACAGAAAAGAAAGATTCAGTTAGCGTATGTTCAAATCCCAAGAGGAAGCAGTTCAGCTCAGCTGGTTGCCGACTCACTCTTCCTTGTGGGAGGTCCCGGATTCAATACTCTATGGAGGGAGTTTCAGCCTAATTTACCCCAGGCCCCCAGGCCCCCTCCCCCCGGTAAAATAAAGTTCAAATCCCGAAAATTGTATGAAAAAACTGGGTAGGAAAACCAATGATGGGGTGGGGGCAATGCTTGAAAATTTTATAACTTCCATAATGAGTGCATAAGCTTCACACTTCAACATATTTTGTAGACTATAAGTATGTACACCCCCCCTGCAAACTCCTATTTCTGCCTCTGTCTATCTAAAATTATTTCATATGTTTGATTTTAACATAAAACACAAAGAAAACGAAATGCTATATTTATTTTTAATTCAACTTTACATATATTATGATTTTTTAGACTTCACATAGTAGATATAAGTAAATACAAAAGCAGTTTTACCTTAAATATTAATGAAATATAACACATGGGAAAAAATCATTCATTCATTCATTCATCATCATTACCCCAATGCCGCAAAGGCTCCCACCTATGGTGGGGTAAGGGGGGTCGGATGTACGCAGCCTTACCCAGTACTAAAGGGGGGAGAGACTATTTTCCGATGACCCAAGGTGAAAATCGCGTTGAAAATTGCATGAAGTGACTGCTGCTTCATTACAAAGAAGCGCAGATAGTTTAGTGAGTCATTTTGCTTTATTCCATCATATTCTCAAGCCAAAGAATAGTGAATCTTTGGCTCCATTGCAGATGATGGAAAATAACGTATGGGCAAAAATGATGAAATAAATTTTTACTTAAATATTCAATGTTTGTCTTCCTATTATATTTACCTAGAATGTCCCGGCTGCAAATGACCCCAAAGCTCACTCGAGAAAAAATAAGTTAAAAAAGACAAGGCAAAAGATGTTAGCATTTAATCTATTGCAAACCTGCTTGGCCAAACCAGTGATCTGTTGTAAATCACTAGCTGCACCAGTGGTCACCTCCGGTGCTCCAAAGATAACTTCTTCTGCAGCTCGTCCACCGAGTCCTCCAACAATTCTAGCAAAGAGTTGTTGCTTGGAGATCAAGGTGGGATCATCTGATGGAATAAACCAGGTTAGACCCCTTGCTTGACCACGTGGAATTAGTGTGACTTTTTGAACAGGATCATGTCCAGGTGTGAGAGTACTGCATTGCAAGGAAATGGAATGACACAAATATTTTTAGTCATGTGTAGTTAAAAACATGCTATGAGATAATCTTAAGATTCCCATAAAACCAACTATTTGCAGCAAAATGATAAGAGAATCCTGTCTTTACAAGAGCCATATTTCAAATGTCATTTTCAAAAGAGAGTCATATATTTCAACAAAAAGTATGTCAAACAAGTTTAGTGTGTTAAATGCATTCGATCTAATAAATAAATTCATACATATAAGTAGGATTGGTTCATAGAAAACTTGATCCGTTACTAGATATAAATAAAAGCAGCTTGTCGGCACTAACCCACAAATTGCATGGCCAACTTCATGGTATGCCACCAGACTTTTGCTCTTGCCATCTGTCATAGTTGTTCCTTCCATGCCTGCCACAATCCTATCAATTGAATCATCAATCTCTTTAGATGTGATTGCTGTTTTCCCGCGCCTACCAGCCAATATGGCTGCCTCATTCAAGAGGTTTGCGAGATCAGCTCCACTGAAACCAGGTGTCCTCATTGCTATTACTTCAAGAGACACATTGGAATCGAACTTCTTATTGCTGGCGTGGACCTTTAATATCTCTTTCCTTCCCCTAATATCTGGAACATCAACAGTCACCTGCAACACAACTTTGAATTTAGCTTTTCATGGATGATGGATGACAATAATACAAAAAGTGGAGTATCCCATATCAGTTGTCTACTGGGTTTAAAATCTAGTCTTTAAGTGTTAAGTTAACTAGTTCTTTTGAAGTGAATTAGACCCAATAATCTAACACGGCATCAGATAAAGTTGCATGTAGGTTTGGTTTTGGTTTGGGGTTCAATTTTGCAACGCAAAATCAAACCTAATCACTTATGTAAGTCCTAATTTAGTCATTTTTGGTCTATTTTAAACGGTTCGGTATGAGTGGTTTTTAAAGATCAATCCTTAAACAGCAAACTGAAATGTTAATGGTAAGATGTGGTTTGGTCAGTTCAATTTGCTCAGGATGTCGATCTGGTTGAACTCTGCTGTTTTTTGGGTTCTATGCTGGACTACCAGAGCTCGATCCAGTGGTGATTTGTAGGGCATCGCCACTCAATGGTTTGATACATCCCTTTTGGGATCTTCCAGGCCCATTTCTCTATCCCTTTAACCGACCAGCCCAAAGTGTGTAACTAAGGTGTGTCATACTGTCAATTATCCCACAACGTTTGTTTATAGGTTTTGAGTCTAGCATGCATGTCAGAAGTCCTCAACTCAATGAGGATCATTTTGAAGTGAGTTAGACTCAATTCAACAAAATGAAACCAAATAATGCAGAGTATTTTACCTGTCTATCAAACCTCCCCGGCCTCAACAAGGCAGAGTCAAGAATATCAGCCCGATTAGTTGCTGCAATAACTATTATTCCAGTATTTCCTTCAAAGCCATCCATTTCAGTGAGGAGTTGGTTAAGGGTTTGCTCCCTCTCATCATTCCCTCCACCAATGCCCGTCCCTCTCTGCCGTCCAACCGCATCAATTTCATCAACAAACACAATGCAAGGAGCATTCTCCTTGGCCTTCTTGAAAAGGTCACGGACACGAGACGCACCAACACCAACAAACATCTCAACAAACTCTGAACCAGAGATGGAAAAGAAAGGAACACCTGCTTCCCCGGCTATGGCTTTTGCTAGTAAGGTCTTCCCTGTGCCAGGGGGTCCCACAAGAAGAACGCCCTTGGGGATGCGGGCCCCAACTGCAGTGAACCTCTCAGGCTTCTTCAAGAACTCCACCACCTCCATGAAGTCTTGCTTTGCCTCATCCACACCAGCCACATCATTAAATGTCACGCCCGTGTTTGGTTCCATTTGGAACTTGGCTTTAGATTGACCAAAGTTAAGAGGGAAACCTGGACCACCAGGACCTCCCATTCCTCCGGAAGACCTTCTTGATAATAGGAAGAGACCCCCAATCAAGAGAAGTGGGAATGCTAAATTCCCAATCAAGTTAAATAGTAAAGAACCAGAATCCTCTTGAGCATTGTGGGCTGCAAAATCAATATTCTTTTCCCTGAATTTTTGAAGGAGTTCCTGGTTAAGCCCTGGAAGTTGAACACGAACTCTCTGAACCCGATTTCCCAGTTCAGGAGATATTGCCTCAACGATGGCAATTGTTCCATTTTCAAACAAATCGACCTTTTTAACTCTATCCTTGTCTAAATACTCGAGAAATCGGGAATAAGACATCCTGGAATTGGAGGCCCCTTGTTCGTCTGCATAAGCTTTCCCACCGCCTATGACTGCAGGTGCAGCAATAAGACCAGCATTTCCTAGCAATAATTTCAAAAACCCTCTTCTTCCATCATTAAAATTCCTTCCCAGTGATGCATTCACAATGAACTTCTTTGATGGTTTACTAAATGATGGTAAGCCTGAAGCAAATAAAATCTGCCTTCCATAAATTTCTTTATAGAAGCCTGAACGTGTTGTTCTGTGGGTCAGCGAGGCATTTCCTGCTATACACACTGAAGAAGTCGCCATATTGCCAATTTTCCAGTAACCTGCACACGTTTCAGGAGACGAAATTTGAAACCAATTGATATCCCAATACAGCAGAACAAGCGAACAGGACACACAGAGTAAAAGAGAGATCCACAGAATACACCTACTGATCCAGACGAAGGGAGGAGCGGTAAAGTATGAGGAGACTTCGAAGTTAAAGCAGCGGGTCAACACGATCTCAACAATGGAAGAATTATAGCTTGAGAATCCAACTTTAGCTTTGAGCGTTGTACTCTCCGACGCCCAGCTATCTGCATCCCATGCTGGAACGAGAGATTAGGAAGCAGAGAGAGTTACTTGAAGATAGATTAGAAGATTGAGAAAGAGGGATTGATGAGGAAATAGGAGGTTGAAGAAGATGATTTTTTAGAAGGAAGAAAAGCAATGAATGTGGTTTGGGAATGGCATACGTGGCCTTTTGCCAAGTGGCTATAAACATCTCCACAATTCTTTGATTTTTTTTTCTCAAACCAATTTTGGCCCATGGTTCCCAGACTGGATATGGATAGAGTTCAGTGTGTTCCCATCAACAATTTGGAGTAAGTTTCAAGTACATTTGGGAATGAGCAGAATAATTCTACTCAAATTAATGAAGTTTGGTTAAACTTAGTTCATTCAATTAATTTATGAAAAAATTATATTTATAATATATTTTACTAAAAAACAAAGAAAAGATTATACAAAAAACAAGTAAAATGGTCTTGATTTCAGCCAATTTAACAAAAAAAGTAATTTCAATCTTTTTTCAATTATTAATACATGAAACCAAAAGTTATGCATTTAATGAAAAGTTGACTAGAAATTGTTAAGCTAAAAAAGATGATCAAATTATATGTTCAATGAAAAAGTTGACTATAAACTGTTTGGGATGAATTTTTTGAGGTTTATGGCTTCTTTGTGAGGTTATGGACTTATGAGACACTTTGTTAGTGCTTGCATCAATTTCATATTAATATAGATTCGTGTAAGTAAATATGGAAATTGTAATAATTTCTTAATAGTGTATGACTGTGGATTTCAAGAGGCGGAATAACTAAAAAATGGCATGAGGTGATTTATAAACAAAATTGAAATAAATTAGAAAACAATAAACATATACAGTTATACACCTGATAAAAATTCGACTGGAATGTTCATATTTTCTGAAATTCTGTATTGGAAAGAGTTTCATAGTGTATTTGATAAAAGTAGAGCTAAATCAATAATTCAAATGAATCAAATGTCACTTATTTAGGGTTGATTTGCAACTCCTTTTAAAAAAGCACTTCTCATCTTTTGGCTTTAAAAAACACTTATTTTCCCAAACACTACAACCTTTATTTTTCTTGGCTTCCGCGTCAAAAGTGCTTTTACTTTTTCTATTACACAAAAAACACTTATTTTACCAAACGCTGCCCACTTTTACTTTTCAAAATCACTTTTTTCTCAAACACTATCAACTTTTATTTAATCACTTCTCCCCATTTCATTAATAATTCCTCTAATACTCTTATTTTTTACGAAAAATTATACTACGTATTTGATAACGTAGAAGAAATCGAATAAATTGATATTTTTTATTTTTTATAATTCACTACTTCTAGGACAAACAGGGAGTTACATCCTTCATTATATAGATCGCTTAAAATGCCTAGAACGGCTAGAAGGACCCCCAATTATGTCCTCCCTCCGTCCCATTTATTTTGTCCCGTTTTACCTTTTCGGGAAGTCCCACTTATATTGTCACATACCATATTTGACAAAGTTTGTGTGGCTCCAAATCATTCTTACTTTATTCTTACTTTATCAATTAATATCAACCACACAAACCCACTTTTCTTAATAACCGTGACACCCTCTTCCGGGACAATATAAATGGGACGGAGGGAGTAAGTGGGAATCGAACATAGTCAAAGTTGTAAAAAGGACAAATGGCTAAGATGTACCAAGTTCCATTGATAAGATAATAGAAAGGAATAAGGGGAAAAACAATGGGCTATATTTCATCACAGGAAAATCAGCTTTCAATTTTGAAGTTGATAGTTAGCAAGTTAGATAGCAATATGAGTTTTTAGTCGTTTTTGTTTGAGCCTTTTGTTTCTTTCACTTTTTTTCGGTTTGTGATTGACAATTGGGTAAGGGTTGTCACAAATCCGAAGGCTCTCGGTGTTTTCATGGTGGGAAGTGGGAACATATACCTCTTTATCATTCTAATGGGAAACAATGGTGATGGACGATGTAAGCCTTTTTCCACTATTCGTTCCCCTTTACAACACAAGTACCTTTGGATACCATTGCCGGACTGTTTAATGCCCTCAAAAGTGATAGGAGATAACCAGGCTTTTAAATCCATTGTGAGTTTTATGAGATCAAATTGTCTTTTGTTTGACATGTTTTTCCTTTTAATATTATTAACATAGCAACTATAGATCAGTCACTTAATGTTCTCTTTCTTTTGCATGCACATTTGAGAGACATCGCATGATTACTACTGACAATGAGGACTTAGTGTGTTGTATTCATCTGCAAGTATTGATGCTCTGTTGACCAGAGGGAAAAAAGTAATATTAACGTACTTGGTTTATTTTTTGGTGTATATTATTATTGCACATAGTACAAACTGAGGAATTTACTTCTCCATATCCGCATCAGGCTTCATCATCCCACCGCAACAGAATATGGAACAACATCATCCAACCTCAGCGCTCTCAATAATGCATACGGATCCCCATTAGCCAACGCACGGTCCACTTCTCGTGGATTGACATTTCGTTCTGAGCTGTCTCGTGTTGCTAAGCTGTCACGTGCTGAGTTGTCTTGTGGTGCTGAGTTGGCTCGTGCTGAGCTGTCTCGATTAGGCCTTCTCTCAATAACCGCGAACCGACAAACGGGGCAAGATCCTTCCTTAGTCACCCAAGGGACAATGCAGTCCTCATGAAACATATGGCGGCAAGGAGTGAGAGTCACCTCTTCTCTCGGCTCGAAATCTTCCAGGCAAACGGAGCATCTCTTCCAGTTCTCATCCCGCTCCTTCGGGATGGCAGTTCTTGCCGCCGGATTGTACTTCTCTTTCTTTAGTTTGCATAACACCTTTTCCTGCCCATCCGCAGTTAGCTTGGATTGGTTTATTTGGTTTTGAGGATTACCATGGGGGCGTATGGACCACTGAGCAGGGGGAGGAGAATGACGGGCTGGTTGGCGGGGTTGAGTTGGAAAACTGTTTGCTGATAAACGATCTTCAAAAGCTACAGTTCGGGTTGGTGGAGGAAATATTCTCTGTGGCGGCAATCTGCAATTTTGGTTACAATGTTATAGTATTAAGTGATTGTTCAACAAAATGTATAAATGCACAAAAAGCTTAGCTTAAGGGTGAAATAAATCAAGGTTAAATTTGAAATAAATTTAGAGAAATTTACCTCTATATGACAATTACATATGGTGTTCCCCTGAATATGACCATCATCATAATCTTTTATGACCTTCGTTATTTGATGATTTTTATTTATTGAATTAATGATATTTCTGTCTATAACCAAATAGATAACATCATAAAAGAAAAATATTGTAGATATATTTGAAGAAATTGGTTAGGTTGTAGTATGGTCTAACATCCCCAGTCCCCACAATATTAATGGAACACAATTTACACAAATTCCAGTGATATAACATCTCCCAAGGGAGTTTGACATTTCTTGTGCCAAATGAGCCCTTAAATGACAATTGAAATCACAGACTAATGGTTAAGTATCCTCCTGTGATGAAATAATAGAAGTATCTAAATACAATATTGGAGAAATGCATGCGGAAATATGAAATCTGAGCAACATGTAGAGTCTAAAGAGAGAGAAGTTACGCGTCGAATGCCTCCATGGCATCTTCTATAACTCTCCTCGTAATAAGTGACGATCTTGAATGCTGAAAGAAACCATTCTGGTTGTTCTGGAAGGACTGCATGCAAGAGATGAGAAATACATGTTTATGGAACCAAGCTTGTGCATGTGCAAACCATATAGATATACACATATGAAATACAAATATGTGCTTACTGGAGGCCCTTCTGGCCGATAAAACTCAGGTTGTATTCTATTCCTGTACCAATCAGTAGGCTCTGACAGAAGAGAGTTAGGATATCCAGGTTGTGTTCTGTTCCTGGTGTTCCAATCAATAGACTCTTCTTGTTGATGAAATTGAGGAAATCCATATTGTGTTCTCGTTCGGCTGTACAAGCAAGGTGGCCCATAGGTAAAGCTTCCATAATCATTTCCCTGCATATATCTTTGAGGAGGTGAATAGTCAAAAAGGTTATCACCAAAGCTGCTGCTCATCTTGTTTATGGGCTTTCTTCTCCTCAAACAGCAGCAGCTTTTAGGTTAAAGCAGAGCAAGACTTTGGATGAGGGATTTAGGAGCATTTCGAACCATTACTTATTAGCTTTTTAAGGAACAGATTCTTTTTGGGATTGAAAAGATTGTCCACTTTTTGGTGGCCAACTGTCCCATAGAAGTAGAAATCAAGTAAGAATCCAATTCCAGAGCTGTTGAAAATACTGCTTGAGTGCAAAAGGCATCAAACATTTTTTTTGTTTTATAGGACAGACAACAATTTGGAAAGCATTTGAAAAAATGCTAGAGTGTAGTTCACACATTCTGGATCATTTCGCAAAATAATAGTGTGCTTTGCTTAAGAGAAGAATAAAATATATTCATCAGCACCATAATCCCAACTATGTAACAAAAAGAGCAAACTATGCAAATTGAAAGCTTTGAACACAGTTTAAGAAAAATTGTGGTTTATCTAATTCATAATAGATTGTACAGATTTTAAATACTCAATTCAATCACATGAAATGAAAGGAAAATCAAGAAGCATACTTCACCATGCCTAATAGACCAGTCCGTGGATATATATAACTCATAATAAGACTACACAGAATAGAATGCCTATATTTTCACTAAATTAATGTTTAAAAAGAGGTCATTCATTTCTGCAATGTAGTGTCAAGCTACAAGAAATAGTAATAATAATAATAAACAATAATAATAACTATTAAAAACTACATTCCCGAAAATAGGAGTAAAAAGAACGTGAAAATTCCAAAATAGGAGTATTATGTTTATTTTACTTATTCGCTAAATATGAATAACTCACTGCCATCATAAAATTTTACATCATATTTTGGCATTACCAGGCTTTAATATGGCTGCATTACTATATTTTCCAAAAATGACAGTAATTAATCCTATTTAGGGAATAAAAGCATAGTGCTCCTATTACAAAATTCCACATTTACTTTACTCCTATTCAGGGCAATTACTGTAACAATAATAGCAGTAGAATACTAATAAATATAAAAAAGAAGCCATAAAAATAGTAATCGTGGTAATGTAGTGGAAAATATGTAGCTCTAGTAATGGGTTGAAAGGAAGAACGAAGTCTGCAAAACATGTGATACAGTAGTGCAAACGCCAAGCTGAATTATTAAGCAGTTATCACATTTTTGTTGGGTTCAAAAGTAATATACATACCTTCGTGCCAGAAATTTCTTAAACATCACTGTTAGGAATCTGTTTCCAGGATCCTAACAATCACTCCCACGTTATTCGTTTCACCAGAAGTCATCACAGCTGCAATCTCCATCTCTGAAATGATGAAACCGGCTTGCATCTCTCACTGTTATTTCTCTCTTTGTGATGATGGATATATATTTCAGTGCAGTGTGGCAATCAACACATACCCGCAAATTCTTAGTAACAAGAATGGGCTTTCCAGGATTAACAAAACAAATCAAGGCAAAGGCTACAGCCATCTTCTCACTGTGATGGAGAAGAATATCTTCTTTTTCCTCCACTTCAACATCTTGGTACACATAATCAAATTCTGACTGATACCCCAACATCTTCATCTCTAAAGAAAGTTCCTTTAGTTTCTCCTTGATTTTGAACAACTGTGGGTGAGATTGATCACCACCAAGGAATCCATGGACATTCCCGTTTACTTCAACCCAACTACACCCTGGGCTCTTCTTAAAGCCCAAACCCTTCTGTACAATTCTTATATTAGCAGCAGCATCCCATCTGTTAGCAGTACTATATAAATTCGATAAAAGAACAAAATCACCTGAACTTTGAGGCCCCAGACTACGAATCTTATTTGAAACTTCTTCTGCAAGTTCAATATTTCTATGGGTTCTACAAGCAGCAAGCAAGGCACTCCATATTTGGACATCTGGCTGAAACAGCATTGATTGGATTAAATGGTAGGCCTCATCCAAAAGATCGGCCCGCCCGAGAAGATCCACCATACATAGATAATGGTCCATCTGCGGGACAATCTTGAATTCTTGACACATAGTATGAAACCAGTGTTTCCCTTCAGTGACAAGACCTGAGTGGCTGCAAGAATATAAGAGGCTGATGAAAGTTATCCCATCTGGTTTTTGGCCTTCAGTCAACATATCATTGAAAATTGAAATTGCTTCTCTTCCGCGACCATGAATTCCATAACCAGAAACCATCGTGTTCCAAGAGACCACATCTCTTGCACACATCCTATCAAAAACAAGCCTAGCTGTTTCAACCCTGCCACACTTTGCGTACATGTCAATCAGAGAATTACAGACTGATACATTCATTACAAATCCTTTGATGATGGAGTAACCATGGCCACAAACTCCGTGTTCCAGAGCAGCTAACTGTGAACAGGCTGGGAAAAATCCCATCATGGTTGAGTGATCTGGTTCAACATGAGAACACCTCATTTCCTTAAACACATATAGTGCTTCTTCTGCATTACCATTCTGGACTGACCCTGAAATTAAAGCACTATAGGAGACCGAGTCAGTTATACCCATCTCCTCAAGTAACAGCATGGCTTCATCTATCCTCCCACACTTCGCATAAAACGAGAGAAGTGTGTTGCTGACCGTTAGATCCAAAAGAGATCCCATCTTAATGGTTTGACCATGTATGCGTTCCCCTCTCCTCAGGTCAATTAGCTGTGCACAAGCTCGGATTACTGTTGCAAGCATGGCAGAGGAAAGGTTGAAGTTTTGTTCCATCCTCATCTTCTCAAACAGTTCTAGCCCCATTAGTGGGGAATCACATGTTATGCATGCCCCAATCATAGCACTCCAGGTGATGTCATTCTTGGAACTCATTGCACTAAAGATTCTCCATGCGTAATCCAACTGCTTACATTTCCCATAAACATCCAGTATCCCAGTATCAAGGACTAAACAACCAACAAAATCCCTTCGCAAGCAATGTCCATGAACACTCTTCCCTTCTCTCAACTTGTTTGCCTCCCCGATTGACGGCAGCACGGCTACCATGGTTGAAGAATTGGTATGCAACCCAGTGTTCTGCATCTCTATGACCAAACCCACCACATCCTCATATAAACCATGAGAAGAACACCCAGCAATCAATGCATTCCATGCCACAGCATCCCTTTCAGTCATTCGATCAAACACCTCTCTTGCATCCACCAAACACCCACACTTCACGAAAAAATCAACCAAAGCAGTGCAGACATAAACATCATTACCAAGCCCGAGCCTTTCCACATCTTCGTGAACCCTCATCCCGTTCTCCAAATCTTGAATGGCAGAGCAAGCCTTCAAAACAAAAGTGTAAGTGTATTTAGTTGGCCTGACCCCGTAATTCTTCATTTCGTAGTACATATCAATGGCTTTCTCAAAGGGCCCATCCCAAGCATATGCTCTAATCATTTGGTTCCATAAAACGGATTTAATTCTCCTGTCGGGGCATGGAATTGAATTAAAAACCCGCTGAGCAAGTTCAAGGCTGCGGCATGAGATATAGAAACGGGTGAGCTTGTCCAGAAGGATGGAGTTGTTAGTGAAAGAATAGCCATGCTTAAGGATGCATTGGTGAATGGCTTTGCCTTGACCAAGAGACTTTGACACGGTACAGGCTTCCAGGAGTTTAATGCAAGAGTAAGGGTCTATTCGGAAATCTGAACAGTTGTGCGGGAGAAGGCGCCTTGCAGCTGCACATGACATCCGAAGAAGGCTGGAGGCGCTAATAAAAGCAATTCTTGGTTCCTGGGCTCTGTGGGAAACTCCACCAGTGTACACCTTTGCTCCTAGAACCACTTTTTATAGAAGCTAAGGGTGACCTTATAGAAGCTAAGGGTGACCACTTTTTATAGAGCTCAAAGTTTCAGCTCTATAAACTGATTCTGACCAGCTTTTGAAAAATGATTCTGATTCTGCTCCTGCTTTAAAAAATGAATCAGAAGTTGATTCTGAAAACTGTTTGAAGCAAGCATTCCAAACACCCCATAGTATCTTACGACCTACTCCCTCCGTCCCCCTATGTTTGGGACGGAGGGGTGTGGTGTGGTTTTTAAGAAAAAGTGGAATTATGTGGTTGGTATTGAATTAATAAAGTGTAAATAAAGTAAGAATGAATTCTAACCACTCAAATGTTACCATTTATGGTATGGGACAAACTTAGTGGGACGGACAAAAAAGGTAAAATGTTAACTCGCTCAGCTCTATAAAATGTTAGGACCAAGTTTGTCTTTACCTGCTATCAAGCCATCAAAGTCTAATAGAGGATCATTTATTAGCTTTTCTATTCTTGATTAACTGTCTAATGTGTGGTATAATTTCAAAATATCCGCATGCAATGCATGAGATCTATGTAGCACGGATATTTCACTTGGGTACTGTATATGTGTACCGGAAACGTTTCCGTATCGAATACTCTAAGATACTCGTACTGTACGTTCTCGTGTATCTGTAATTTATTACAAGTTTTCAACTTTTTGGTAATTACTTTAAAATTTCGGATACTTGTATTCTGACGAATACACGTATCAACTTTTTTTATAAAAAAACCAAAATTTACATAATAAAATTCTTAAAAAATGAAATACTAAAAATAAAATTTACTTTGTTTTAATCTCGCACACAACTAAGTATATGGACGACAAGTAAAATGTGAGATGTTGGTGGAGATGACTTTCCATAGATGAACTGGAATTGGAAGTTGTCTTTTTGGAAAAAGGTGTTATCTTGGAAATTAGTAGCTCCAGTGAAAATATGTATTACAACTTTTAGTTTTTTTATTAGAGTATGTTTTCTATCTCCATTATCCAAGAACTTTGAGCACTTTTTGCACTTTTAATATCAAAATTGTGATTGTTTGACTCGTTTCTCATTTCAAATTAATGACATATTGACTGTATTTATATTTCGAGATGCACTAGTATATATCATATATCAGATAAAGAATGAATTTATTTCTAGTCTAATAAATTATGTCAATTGTCAAATTATTATGAGGCTTTCTAATCCACATAATAAATAGTCTAGTCACTAGACATTAACCTATCAATGAAACCTCCAATGCATAAAGTTTCAAATCCCAAATTAGGGGGAAAAATCCCAAATTAGGTGTCCGTGTGGACTTCATTTTATTAAACAAAAAAATACTACCTAGAAATTACCCTAAATAGGAGTAAAAACGTTTTGAAATTCCAAAATAGGACTATCATGTTTTTTATTTCTTGAATACGAGTAATCTGCCAATTAAGTTTGGGGAAAATGCCAAGTTTGAAACCTAGTAATGCCAAAATTGACAGAAATTTACTCTTATTCAGAGAATAACAAACATGATAGTCCTATTCTGGAATTTCAAAACGTTTTTAGTGCGGAATTCTCTAAAAAAACAGCTAAATTAATAGAGATAAAAACGAGTAGTGCTGAATTAGTATGCCAGCAAACGAAATCAAAACCAAAAAGAAGGGCAGCCTTCAACATTTTTTATTCAAGGCGAGGCAAGCCATGGAAGTTCATTTGCCAATTCAGAAATCTCTAGATTCAAGAACAATCCTCGGTACGAAAGCACAAGCCAATCTTTTTATCAAGATTAATAAACATGTCCTTGGGTTCTTCCGTCATTGCTGCACCACTCTCAGCACAATCTTTACAGAACAAAAATTAAACCTTTTCTGTATAATCAATCTACGAATAGAGTCCTTCAACAACTTGAAGAACAAAATCGTATGTAAAATAAGGGTTGCTTGGAGAGACGGAGGTAATAGGGGGTTTCATTTCCATGCGCATTTAATGAAAATTGGTGAGTCAAGTCTTTGGGGCTTTCTACACTTGGAAATTCATCTACACAGGGTGCAATTAGGTTTGGTGACAACTCCGGTACTTATTTAAAAATGGGGTACCGTATCTACCATTCATTTGATTGGACACATCACTTTATCATTTTTAATTTAGATTTAAATAATTCAACTGTTACATTCTCATTGGTCCACGTGAACAAATGTATGATACCTTATGGGTACCATAGAATCTACCATTAAGTTTTTGCCAACTCAGCAAAATTAAATTGGAGACTACATCCATTGTGGATGCTCTAAGCAAAGTAGATATATGTGGTCGATATTGAATTGATAAAGTAAAAAATGAATTAGAACCACATAAATTTTACCAAATTTTGTATGGAACAATCTTAGTGGGACAAACTAGAAAAGAAAAGATAAGACAATCATAGCGGGACGCAAGGGAGTATAACACAAAAATGATATGAAACTTTTCTTTATTAAAAGTACTTTCATAGAAACTTTATGTATTGACTACACCTACTAGATGAAAAACATCCAGATAATAACTGTAACTTAACTTTAAAAATGATATTTTTATGCAAACTATACCCGTTTTAGCATACTTATACTGACACACTCCATCCCTATTTAAAAGTTCACTACAATGGGCACATCAAATAAGGATGAAATAGTAGATGTAATAAATAGTGTAGAAAAATATGAAAGATAGTTAAAAGTATAAAAGAGAAAAGAAAAAGTAGAAAAAATAAGAGTGATCGAGTATTTTGAAAAGAAAAAATTACCAAAAAAAGAAAATGTAACAAATTTTTAAATACATCCAAAAATAAAAGTGTACCGCACTTTAAAATACAAAGTGAGTAGTATTTACGCAAGACTCATTTCTCATTTCTTCAAGTACATTTCTTATTATTTTAAAGTAATCTTTTCCGTATGATGTTCTCATAACACTTTTTTTGATTCGTTAAAATTATTTTTCTTTATATACTTTGATCAATTCCTTTTTGTATAAAAAAAATGAATACAATTTTCATCCATGCATCACACGGGTGAAATACTAGTAGCAAACAATCAATGTCGTTCGACCTAAACTTGAGCCTGAGTCGAACTTCAAAAAATGGACCGTACACATAGTATTTGTTTATCATTTAGATTCATTAAAAATTAAATGTTAAATATCACAAAACACAATTTTAAAATAAAAGTCTTAGATTATGACAAAATGACATTGAATTTACTAAAACAACTGATTAAGTACGGAGTACAACTTGTCGAATAGTTTTAGTTGCAAAAGTACTAATCAAGTCTGCATAATCTATGTCATTAATACATTCCTTCTCAATTGATAACACAACTAATCCATTCAACCTTTCTTGGGACACGGTTGATCGTAAAAATGTTTTAGTTTTGAAATACTTCTTTCTGCACTTGCTACAGTCACAAGTATCGTCAACAAGATCTTGTATACAATGTATGCATTAAAAACATCCATCTAAAAAAACAAGAATCAACTAGCATTTAAAAATTTACAAATTAACTCATTAGGCATTCACATATGACAAATCAATTATACATCACATTTTTAGCAATCCAATACGGAGAATAAAATTAGAAAATCTCTGAAAATACAAAAAAAATAACTAAATAACTAAATAACTAATCTTTCAAAAAAACAAATTACTAAAATAACTAAAGAGTAAAGAAGCCAAGAATGGAGAGGGAGAAGTCGGCCAGATAATAGACAGGGGCTGCTTAGTGCTCTAGCAGAGAAGCCATCCACACCGCGCAATAGGTGTACAACTATTCCGCAGCTCTAAATCGTCCTTCAATTGCTTGTGTAGTTGTCTCCTTCGCAAGATCACAAAATTATTGCAGATAGGGGCCGGTTAACCTGTTTTGTGCGGCGTTATTTGCAAACGGACGAATTAGAAAATATACATATGTACAATACTAATGCATAAAAAATTATGGGCTCCTGTTTTTTCTAGATTTTTTTGGGCCCTGAGGCATTGGCCTCTCCAGCCTTACATAAGGCATGGGCCTGCAAACAATGTTAAATAATTTCAATTTCTTAAATTGCGTGTAAAATGAATGATGATTTTTATATAAGAACAGAGAGTATATAATTCACTTGTTTTCAATTTCTCGTCTTATATCTAATAAATTTATCCATATTAAAGATTTTCTACTCAAAAGCATAATTTGTGATATAAATTTGACGTGAGAAACGTGGTCTCCCGTATATTTTACTAGCTACATAATCAAATTTTCAAATGAGTATACTCCCCACCACCACCTTCCCTCTTTTCAGATTCGACCTCCGGCCGATCAAACCTTTCCCCGGGGCCGGGCGCCTCTGTTAGGAACTGCTGCCAGAACACATCATTCCCACCATTAGCCACTACAGATGCTGAAGAGCTACCATCAACTTCACGATTACTATTACTTTCAGCTGGGCTTGTGTTCATGTCAATCCTTGAACTCTTCTTGGGCTGCTGTTCTGTTTCTACATTGATGACAAAACTTGAAGGTGATGATGTCTGGGAATGAGTCCCACAACCATCTTGACTTGAATTGCCATCACAGATGATTCCATGTATGAGATTCTCACAAAAATCTATGGAGGAATCCAAGTCTGCAACCAGATCATTCTGGGAACTCAAGAAACTGTGGTTTTGATCTTCATCACATGAAATGGTGGAGGTGGTGGTAGTAGTACTGGGAAAGCGAAGTGATAGTAATTTCCTCCTCTTGTTATGATCATCCAAGTGGTGAAGCAGAGAAGATGCAAATGTGGGGTTTTGAGCGAGTTGACCCACGAGTTCCACGAGTTGACTCTGCCTTCTGTCAATGTTCTTGAGCCGATTCTCTAAGGAACAAAATTCGAATTTGTGTTCGAGGTTGTCTTTTTCATGCTTTTCTACTTGTGATTGAAGAGAGGCATTTTCATTTCTCAGTTTCTCAATCTCTTCTTCATATCCCCGCCTTTCCGAATCAGTCACCGGAGAAACAGAGTGGCTGTGGATCGGTTTCCGCCGGTGGATGTTCTTCAAGAGATGTGTTTGTCCTCTTATAAACTCTTCATTTGCAAATTCCCACCGCTCTGGATCAGTCTTTCTGAACCCCTGTCCAAATATGATCATTCCAAATTAGTTATAGGGCATTCAAAAACATTTTCCAACTCTACAAAATAAAATGAATATGGTACTTTACTATAAATAGTTACTTCAATTCGGGATTCAATTTTAATCAAAAAAGCTCTTAGGATTCACAGTCAAATTTTAATACTTACATATGTATTGAGCTGTCTGATGAAGCTGGAAAAATTGTTGTGCTTGAAGTATTTGGGAAGCATATCAGCACAAAACTTAGGTGGATCCCAAACCACGAAACTATGCCCACTTGGATCCCATGAAACAATATGGTTGGACGATGGATCCTCAACCAATTCATATGTTTTCATCAGAAATGGTGCAGGTGCGGAACAACCGCCGCCGCCGCCCTGACTTCCATCCATCATCGTACGACCACCAACAATTCTGTGTTTGTTTGTCCTGTTTTAATAAAAAAAATCCCACCCAGTGTAGAAATTGGCTTCAAAGTACTCAAAGATTCAATCTTTCACACAAGAAAAGGGATTTCCAAGAAAACCCAGATTTCAAAAGTCAAATTACTAGGAAATATTCAACAACAGATTGAAACTATGATCAGAAGAACACAGAATAATGCGTTTTGGTTTGGGGGCAAATTCAAGGAAAGAAGAAGAGAAAGTCTTCTAGATACAGCAGGAGATCTAGCTAGAGAGTGCATAATAATAATGATATATATAGGTGTGAAATAGCGGTAAGCTTGACCGGGAGAGAGTGAAGAGTTGACTGGCAAATAGGGTGCGCTGGGGAGTGGCGGTGATCGTCGGATCCGTCGATGTGGAATTTTCAACGGTCCATTCTTTTCCTTTTGTAATTCCGTCAGCGTTCCAAGTTGGAAGACGAGAGCTCATTAGTGGATTACCCGCCGTTTGCGTAATTTGGTTCACCCAAATATCGTCTTCTTTATTGAGAAAAAGTAAAATTCCCTCGGCAGCTCGGACCCACACGTTTGAATTTTTGTCAAAATAATACTCATATTTCTTTTTTTTATCATCAAAACGTGCATCTATTCATATCAAAAGATTCAGGATCATTACATCAAGCAAAAGGAAAATAAAACTGACACCAACTGAAACTTCAACAACTACGACTGTAACCCTATGGTGAGACTTTGAGACGGTCACCCTTGAGAGAGCAACACGAATCGCTAAGCATGTAGTGGGCTTGACACAGCCAAACCTATTCCCATAGATCCAACCATACCCAATGAAATAAAGAGAGGTAAAAACTCAAACAAACTATCAAAACCAACAACAAAAGTGGATACAAGAAAACAAATAACAAACAGATAAAAACTACAAGAAAAGCGTTCACGAACTCTAGCACCTCGTACATCCCATGATGGTGGTTCAGGAGGAGGTCTTATCACCGGTACCATGCTAATTGATACTCCGTGACCTCTGTCTGCCAAAGGCCATGCATCAATCCTCCGTCCCTGCATAACCAAACTCATCCCTGCTTCATGCAACCAGAGTAAACGGATAGCCGGCGCAGATCTTCTCCAACGACGACAACAATACATCATCCTCGAACCTTGACCACAACGCCGATCTCCTCGAGCCATGACAGCAAATCCGCCCTTCGAGTATGAAGCACAAACAACAACAGCCGTCCTTCGATTAAAATCGAAGACGGAAATAGCGGCTGTCCTTTGATTAAAATCGAAGACGGAAAAAGCGGCCGTCCTTCGATTAAAATCAAAGACGGAAAAAAACTCCAAGCGGCCGAAGCCCTAGAGAGAAGCGAGATACCCGATTCTTTTTTATACTCATATTTCTTAAAATACTACTTTTGGAGTTTTGGAGTGTAAAAATTAACAGTAAACTTTTGGAAATCTTTGTCCTAAGGGTATTTTGGGAGTTTGGTAAAGGGATAGCTTTGAAGGTTATTAGTATTTTTTTTTTTGAAGAATGTGTCCTTTATTAAAATAACAGAAGTTAAACAAGTTACAAAACGACTAAAAGTCTTTTGTTTATCGTCTACCATAGAACCAGATTTAGAATCTATTATAATTTGAAAATTTTGATATTTAAAGCTACACTATCAATAATCTTTTGGTTATTGAGTGTTTACAAAAAGTTCAGTAAAAGTTTTAATGTTCCGCAATTGTTTAGATCTGTTGTTATTATATTCATACACCCAAATATATTTTTGTTAGCACGAAGTTATTCCAAGTTCACCGAATACGTAACCTTCTGCTTTTAAGAACTCATCATAAACTCTTCAATGTTGTAAATCTGAGTTGCTCGAAGTATTCATTAGATCTCACTGTCATCTAATAACATATTTAAGTATGCAAACTATGCATCCCGTGCAACGCACGGGTAAAGAATCTAGTTAGATATAAAACAAAGAAAACTCTATCATAATTCATAATTGTGCTTTTAATAGAGTCTTTCAAGCATTTAGCTTTGTACTCTTAAGTGGAGTGGCTCAAACGGTGATAAATATTACTTTTTTCTTGACTTAAATCAATCAAGATATGTCTCTGTGAATTAACATCTCTATCTAAATTAGGTCATGACATTTAGATTTAGTATATACGCTCTCTGAATTAAATGATCAAATAATCTTCCTATCACCGGAAACATGTATTAAATGTACACTCTCTTTTTACTTTCATTGTTATGAAAGATAATTTCATACACCTAAAAATCATTATAGATGAATTATTTAAATAAAATAGTCACATTACATAATAAAAAAGTAAAAAATTTTATGACAATGACATATATTTTTTAAAATTGTGTAGTTGTCTATTAGCAATTTTATCCCACAATTTCATTACATACTTTAGACTTTGGGTACCACATTATACGTCATGCTTTCATCTACTTCTTCTAGAATGTCTTCGCTTTTCTCTTATACTTCATTATTGAATATGTTGTCATAGCCTCATTAATTGAACAAGTTAATTCAACTTTTTTGTTTATGAGATTCGCCACCATATTAATTCTGTACTAAAGAATGACCCAATTTTTCAAAAATGTTAAATAGAATGGGTGCCATATGAACTTTTCCTTGCTAGTTCTATACACGCGGGCTTATGAACAGACTTGAACATGCCCATACCACATCCCAGCTAACAGAAATGGATCCAGGATTATTTAATTGCCTATTAGGCCGACTGACCCATTAAAAGTAATATTGGTTCATAAATTGGGTCAAGCCCAATTAGCATTTAATTAATAGGGCATGTTGTAAACGCATAGAAATAATCCATTATTAGCACTCTTGTAAGTTGTAATCCTACGTTATTTTCACTATACTAAATTGATAGCTTGTTGCTACTCTTTCTCTAGCTTTTTAATCCCGCTGATAGTACTTATTAATAAGTATTGAAAACACACATAACATCCAAAAAGGTTGTTTTGATTCTTTTTGGGGGCAATAATATTGCATAGTTATTTTATATGTATGTGTTGAAATATAAAAAACTACCCTACATACATAAAAGAGTAGAAATGTTTGAGAATTTCAAAGCATAAGTGTTATTTAATATCTAAATAAGAACAACGTAACTAAAGTAAAACTTAGAAATAATGTCACATTTTACGGTATAATATCATGTTAAAATCCGATAATGCCAAAATGTGTCAATTAAATTTTCAGGATTATAGTAACGTACACCTGTTTAGTGGAAAAATATTACACTTGTATTTTGAATTCTCAAATGTTTTTACTTCTATTTATTTGGGAGCTTTCCAAATAATTTATCGTGATTGTCTTGCTAATGAGATGATTGAATATCCGACATTTTTTTTAAACATATGAAGTTAGGAATATAGGATTATAATTGTTCCCTTATAATTGTTGTAGATTTTTTTTTGGACAATAATTATTGTAGATTGAAGACGTTTAAACAATATTTAAAAAAGTTTGAACAAAAAATAATAATAAATCAAAATCAGGATTTAATGGATCGAAAAGCCGGTTTTACCAGTACGGACTGAGTTAACTAAACAGCCTGGTTTTCTCAGACTTTAACCCTTTTCAATTTTTTATGTTGGCCTGTTGAAAGATTCTCTCGGGCTCCTTAGCCGCTAGAGTTTTTTTTACGTCTTCGGCAAAGTCGAAGGACAGACGCCATTTTTGATAAGAATAAATATAAAGACTAGTTGCAGCAGATAAACCAAACTGTCTCACATTGAAAATGAACTAGCAGTGGCTTTAAATAGCCTTACAAAGAAACTGAAATGCTGAAATAAAGCTGAGTTTCCCACAATACCAGGAAACGTGATTACAAGCAAAGGAATAGGAAAGACACGAACAAACTACACCCACTTCCTAATAATTAGGAACTTATTAAGACTGATTCAAAATAACTAACAAAACCTTCCCCTAAACTAAACATGTCGATCAGCTACATGTTAGTTTAATTCAGGACTTCGCCTAACACCAAGCTCTTTTCGGAGTTTCTCAAATTGAACAAGCATCAATGGTTTGGTCATGATGTCGGCTAGCTGTTCATTGCTCCCACAATGCTCCATCTTGATTAACCCATCATTTATAAGATCTCTAAGAAAATGGAATCTGATATCAATGTGTTTAGTTCTTCCATGGAACACTGGATTTTTAGCAAGTTTGATAGTAGAAGAATTGTCACAGAGAATCTTTACTGAATCATCTTGAATGCCTGTAAGTTGTTTCAGAAGTCGTTGCATCCAGACACATTGGCAGGCACATGAAGTAGCAGCAACATACTCCGCCTCTGTGGTTGACAAGGTTACCACAGGTTGCTTTTTAGAAGCCCAAGCCACAGCTCCTCTACTTAACAAAAACACATATCCTAAAGTGCTCTTCCGATCATCTATATCACCAGCATAGTCACTGTCAGTGTATGCCATCATTTCAGTTGTACAACCTTTTTCATAGAAAATACCAAAATCAACAGTGGATTGAATGTATCTCAGGATTCTTTTTGCTGCTAGCATGTGTGCTTCTTTTGGATTTTCCATGAACCTACTCAACAGACAAACAGAATACATCAAATCAGGTCTTGTGACTGTTATGTATAAAAGACTTCCAATAATCTGTTTGAACAAGGTTCCATCAGCATTGTTTCCTTCCTCTTTCGACAGCTTGATTCCAGGAACTATTGGATTCTTAACTCCATTGCAGCTGCCCATTCCAAACCTTTTAAGAATATCACTAGCATATTTCTTTTGGCTGATGAAGATTCCACCGATGTCCTGTTTTACTTCCACACCCAGAAAATACTTCATCTCTCCAAGATCAGTTATCTCAAACTCATTTTTCATCGAAGCTTTGAAATTTTGCAACATTAAAAGATCATTACTTGTAAAAATAAGATCATCAACGTAGAGACTTACAATCAAAATCTTGCAGTTCTCAAGCTTCTTGATGAATAGAGTATGGTCAAAACAGCTCTTTTCAAATCCTTC